TTTTATAATTTTTATTAGCCGTTTGCCTTCTGATTTTGTAACTGGTCACGGTTTGAGGGGCAACAACGGATACATATTATAACCAGAAATTGTAGTTTCGTTGCTCTGGGGGCCATCTCTGTCCTCTGCACATTCATAACTTGCAAGACAATGGAGGATGAGTCGCGCTATATCGCAGTTAGATATCAGTCATGGCGGTCTGCTGTCGTCGCCCATGGCTCAGTGACATTAGTCGCTTTCTCGCAAGTGTAAAGTCGTGGCTTTGAACCCGGCAGGATTCGGTGGGTGCGCGCTACTGACGAGTCCCTATAGGACGAAACGGCCGTCTAGCGCTTTCCTGGATGTGTGTTGGCTGTCTGCCTGTGTCTAATTGCGACCAACTGACACATAAACATTTATCTGTGAAACGTTCGCCAGAGCAACATCATGTAAACTGACGCCACATTTAGAATGCAGTTTTCAGATGATGGTGTCCAGTAAGGTCTTAAAGAATAGGAGGTATAAATTCTCTGCTTGGATGCCCCAGTGTGAGTGTAGCAATATTGAAAATGTCAACCGTGAACGGGATTTTGTATATTAACTCTCATATCTGTAATGTGGGCAAAGCAAATCACAACAAATGTGTATTTTTAAGGTGATGCAAGACATTTTCACGGCGCTGTACTTGTTGAAGATTGTCTACATTTCAACGTGTCTAGAAAAGCATATTAGACACAGGGGTCCACACAAATTAGAAGGTCGGTCACGATTGCCTTTCAGAGATGTATGTCGACTAAATCGGTCATAATTTGCGATCTGCTCATTTCATGGGTAGCTCGTTCTGCTCCCTTAAATCACTACCACGTCATTCATAATTTAGCGCCGGTGCTTTAACTTGTCCAAATCCGGATCGCAGTGCAACTCCAAGTGGTGGGGATTGGTTCACTGGAATTATCAAACTCGACGCATCCGCACAGATCTATCAGGTCGTTTAGTACTCCGGTAAAGCAGTGAGTAAAGGGGGTTGTGCATAACGCGTTTTCGTTAGCATGTGAATCAAAAGCAAGATATGGACATGAGCGCCTTGAATATTTGTAACACAACTACTGCATAAACGAGACTAGAAGCAATTGAGGCAATTCGAAACTAACACCAACCTAGCACACAAAAATTGAGCACGAAGTGAATAACATCAGCAGTGTGGACACAAAGTCCTGTCCCCTTTGAGATTTCGACTGTTTGCCGGCAACATTGTCGGAGTAACTGCCGACAGCTTCAGCATTTCGCAATGGTTGATCACGTCTCCACTTCCCGTAAGCGAACGCAGAATCAGTATGTGTACCGGACCCATCCCCATCATTATAAGTCCGTTTCTTCCAATTTGTCCTGACAGCGATAGGCATGTACATTCTAAATTTGTGGTTGTTTCCCGATCAGAGCTATGTGAGCGATAGGAAGTAGCATAACAAAGCTCAATGCGCTCTTCCGCTGCTTTAACAGATCCGTTGCATCACATATTCCCGAATGCTTATTTCCGATAATAGCATGTGACTGCCAATTTTAGCTAGGATATCTGCAGCCCACTTTCCTAGCTGTAAGCACCTACACCACAAAGTTAAGTGCTGAGTTATGCCACTTAGTCTATAATTAGACTTACGTTGGAGATTCGCTGCCCTTTGAATTTCGCCTCTGTGCTCATTACTTGCGGTCACCTGCTTTGCGTCTAAATGCTCACCAATAAACTGACAAAATCTCTAGAGCTGTAATTGCTTCTGCATATTTCGTAAAGTTAATGGCTACACTCAACACGGTTACCTTAGACGGATTTTAAATCATTGTCTGGAGTAGGGCTCATTGTTAAAAGGATTCACGTTGCACGGTAAATCTCTATAGCAGTGTCTAAAGACCTCTTGGTCTGATGGACTTTTAGCCGATGAAGATGCTTTTTCGCTCCTCCTCTAGTGTAGGAATATTAAAGCACAGATAAATGATTGCGCCAAAACTTTTTATTTTAAAACAATAGCTAAACCATTCATTTTGGCGTAAAAACAATACATAAGGAGAACATTTAATGTTATGCTTGTAAACTTTGTTTTATCGCCTGCAGCAGGTCTGCGTGGCATGAATTATGCGCAGTAAAACAAGTTGCAGAGGTCAAATGAGCCGGAAAATGAGACAGAAGTTTTATGATCTACGACATGGAAATTAGATAAGTAAACGCTTATGCTGAAGCGGCCTTTAAATTTAAGAATTAATAGTAATACCAATGATATCCATAGCTCTGTCAGTTTGCTTGACAATTTCGAAGGTGCTCGCAGTGTTTTCGGCTTGCTGTGATTTTTGTTGCTCAATTTCTTTGCCCTTTCTTTTTCTGCCTAGTGGTTCCAAACAGCTAGACCATTTGCATTATGGTTCCTTGGGTGAAGCAAACACTACATTTTGCCTATTATTAGATTCTCCTTGACTATCTTTGTTTCCTATTCCAAACAATCAGCAATATTCTACAACGGTTATGATAGCGAGTAACTGGCTAATCTTGTAGGGTGTTCACTGAAGCTCTTAAAGCAATATGGCAAAACGAGTGCTATTCACATTAGCATTAGTGCAGGTTTTCACACTTCTTTACGCAAGAGTCTGCTGAGCACACTGCTTTTCTCGCATTATCTGGTCGTCTAGTGGTCAGAACTTTTTCTTGTACTTCAAATGGGATATAGTTCGTCAAAACATCTTATGGGAAACATTAATGTTTTGGCAATATAACGTTTATTCGAATGGAATTCCATATTTGGAACGCCCGAGAAAATTGGCGATTTCGTTGGCAATCAAGTATGATGTAGTGTTAAGCAAATGTTGGATGTCGGCTCCTCAGGTTTGTATTGCGGCTGATTTGCTACAGATTGCGGCGTCAGTCATCGGGGGCACGGTGATGAGGTGTCCCTCCAAACACCAATGCACACTGCTATACAAACCTGAGGCTTGCGGTCTGAGTTCACAAGTAAGGCGAAACAATCGCCTAGTGATATTGATAACTCTGCGTTCCTGGCTTACAAGCGCTCCAAAAATCGTTTTATGCCAGAGAAGTCGGGCTTAGATGGCGTATTCCAAATGAGATCTTATGCGGGCTTTCAGAATTTGATGAAAGAAAGGCCGCTCAAGCTTCTCGAACACCTACTGTAGGAAACCAATTCGCTGACCGGTTTTTATCGACGGTATTTCAACCGTTTCGAGCATCCAAGATTATCCTGCACGATCACTCTGAGAATGCCTTCCTGTGTCGCACGTTGCGATCCCTGTTCCCAACATCGATATCTATAGGTTTACTGATGGCTTATGATCGAAACAGGGATTGCCAAAGCGAGCTTGAAGACAGTTAAATCCTTTAGGATAGACGATTCACGAATATTATACCAAGCAAAGTTTTCCATTCAGTGACACAATAAACAAACCCACGCCCTTCAGTAAACTGCACCGTGAACCGGAGATGCCTGTAGCAGTATCATTCAATCCAATTATTGTGAAACAAGCATTTCCCTTTATGATTCCGAACATGAAATTCAGAATACGTCGATTCTGAGATGACGCTGTCATTTTGTGCATTGCTATCAATCACAAAAATCATGCAACATTGGAATGTAGACAAATGATGATCACAGATAGTAAAACGCAACAAAATGAACAATGAGCAATGATAGAACAATGATTTAGCACGGGATAAAATCAACTGCTTGGCATGTCCCGTAGGATGGTTATGGTGAATACGATGGAATCAAAATATATGTGGATTATCTACCGAGCGTCTTCCGAGATGAATACTTCAATAAATAACATCAGTATGAAATAAAATAGTCGTGTTAACGTTCAGAAATACACTGGGGTGCATTGGTCGTTTATTTAAGGCGTGAGAAATGTAAAATATGGTCGCTCACTTGGGTCCATTTGATACATAAATTGTGTAGAAATGCATGATTGGCGTAATCCACAATAGTGTAGTTTAGGTAACAAAGTGCTGGGAGCTAAGATTAACATCTACTCACTTTTTGAAAACGTCCACTGTAGAGAAGGATACAACTGATTCTGGTAGTGCGTTCCAGGGTTGGCAAAGCCGAAGGGAAAAGTAATTACGTCGACACTCTAGACGGCTATATTGTTCCCTATATTTCAAACAGCTACCCCTGAGCTGCGTGTTAGGGTTAAATTTTTAGCGGTTGGCGGCATACATATTCGGTTGCTCAGTATTTGGTACGCTAATATGAGATCGCCGCGCAGACTTCGGTAGCGTCCGCTGAAAATTCAGCCTTCGGTGCCAAGAGTGAAAGTGCAGGTGCTTGACATTCTTTGTTGCTCTTCGTTGTCGTGCCTCTAACGTCTCTAGGTTCCATTTCAACCAAGGTTGCCTAGTTTGGATAGCGTATACAACATTTGGGCGCACGAAGTAATTGTGCATCTTTGGGAAGATTGCTGCTCAAACCTTCCGAATGCCCTTCGCACCATGCCGGCCTGCTCTTTGTCTCTTTCCCTAGCTACCTCAGCCTGTTTTGAACAGTTTAGGTTGCCCTATACTAGCACACCTAAGTCACGATCTTGGGAGGTGGTCGGCAATCCGTGTGTCCTAAGCAAATATCTGTAGTCATGTCTATGGCGTAATTGCACAACGCGACATTTGTCTACCTTAAAAAGTAGGGCTTTTTGAACTGACCGGTTCGACATGGTGTTAATATCGCACTTGAGTACTTCGTCATAGTCCGGTCCTCTGAGCATTCGCCATATCTTGATACCGTCCGCAAAAATAGGAAATCGGAAACAACTGATCTCGCCAAATGGTTAAGGAACACCAAAAGTAGACCAGGTCCAAGCACGGAGCGTTGTGGTGCACCACACACCATATCAATTGCATCGGACAATGATTCTCGTGCTCTCACTTCTAGCCCTTGTTCGTTGTAGCAAATTGCCCATCCAACTCAGGATTGGGTCGCTAATGCCGTAGTTTCGCATCTTCTGACAGAGAATTTGATGGTCTAAGCTATCAAGTGCATTGTGAAGTCCAGGTAGATGACATAGACCATTGCTCCATCATCAATGGCTTCAGTCCAGCCATCACGTGCAATTAAAAGTTTAGTAGTACACGAACGCTTTTGACGAAAGTCATGTTGCTTTGGGGCTATTAAATTGTGGTTTTCCAGATACTGCTTCAGCGCATCTGGGATGATTGATTCCATAAGTTTGGGTAGCACATGAATTAGACTTATTGGACCGTAGTTAGTAGGTTCAGTGCGGCTACATCCTTTATCGATAGGCGTGATAATCCCTCGCTCCCATACTGGTGGAATATGGTTCTCTTCTAGACATCGCTGATAGAAAATAGCCAGTAGTTCTGCTAGATCACTAGCTACCGCCTGCTGTGCCTTTTGTCGGATGTTGCCGACTACAGAAGGATTGCGGATACGCAAGGAGAACAGCTTCTTCAACACAGCTTCCGCAGTGAAGGTGATGTTGTATAAACCCGACGGTGGAGTACTAGAAACGAGGAGAATATTTGGGCACGTTACTTGCTGGAAAGTTTGGGAGTAATGAAGACGTAAGAGATCGGCTGCTTCCATTGCTGATCGCGTGCATCCATCAGCCGTGACTAGTGCTGAAATCCCAGCCTTTACCTTTCGAAGGCCGTTAACGTGGTTGTACAGGATTTTGAGGTTTGTGCAGATTCGCTTCATTAACTCCTGGTGATGCGTGACATTGTCCTCGCAGATCAGTTTCACACAGAAGTTACAATGTGTTACGTATGCAGTCCAGGTTTCGGCATTCGGGTAGTCCTTGTAAGCTTGCCATGCCAACTCCCTCGTGGACATATATTTACAAGTTCGGCTCCTCAAGAGCAATGTATAATTTTTTAGCTTGGAAGGACTTCTGTTCCGATGCGTGCGCTACCAGTATGCCAACTGTCCTTGTGAACGTTTCCCAGGCAACATCTGGGGAGCATTCGGTTAGGATGTCCAAGATGTATCCTTAGCAAGCGTAGACAACAAGTTATAGTGTGTGACAGTATGCCCTTTATCATCCTCTATTTTAGCATATTCCGCATAACATATATAGTCAAAGCGTAGAGTAAAATGCTCACTGTGACCCAGTGGTGTGCTTATAACCATTCCATCCACCATGAGTTCTTCGTTAGTGAGCAAGAGATCGAGTATCGACGGCTTGTTAGCAGTTCGAAATCTGGTGGGAAAGGTTACTTGGTTGTACCGAAGGTGGCTAGCAATTAGCTCTTGCAAGCAGGCTTTGAACTGCATACTATCGGTTGCTGGTGTTTCCATGTCATGCACATTGAAGTCTCCAGTGATAAGAATGTGGGTGTAAGACTTGTTCGAAGCAAACTGAAAGTCGTGGTTCAGTTTGGAGACCATTTTCGACTCAGAGTTTGGTTGGTGGTAAATTACGGCTGGTAGACATGTGTCCTTGTTTCGTAACCAAAGCACCAAAGCGAAACTGGAGCACGGATTTCTGGGCGATCGGTAAGTTCACATCGGATGTTTAAATTATAATAACGAATCACACCACCACCTCTTCCGTTTCTATGGTTACGAAGCAGAGATATACCGGGTAAATTGATCACAGAATCGGTTATCTCAAGGTTTAACCAGGTCTCTGTAATAATGTCGAGGTTCCACTGTTGTGAAGTTTGGAGTTCTCTAAGTTTGGACAAGTTACTTAGAAGACCTTGGGCTTTTGTGGACATACAGGATAGTGTTTTCGTTTTTAGGGGTGTGTTGCTAGATGTCAACATTGTGTTTGTTTTTAAGCTGACCGTTAGGTGGCCGGACCTTAATTGTTTTTCGGTTTATAAATTTCAGTCAAGTTGGATGGCATTGTTGAGCGTTCCTGAACAGAAGTTCCACGCTTTCTGCGCGCTGTCCTGTTATGCTCCGTTGATGTTGTTGTGTTGGTCTCTCCGCAGAAATGTGCAGATAAAGAATTTACAGCGTTTGCAAGTTCCATCGAAGCTCATACGACTGTTGGTCGCTTGCCTGCTTCATTCAGTCGGAGATCGGTTGGCAACCTGGCTCAAAACTTTGACCAGTTATGCAAGAGAAGTTGCGTCATTCCCTCGCAGTGGAATACTACTTTTGTTAGTCTTGGACCGCAGCCGTTGTAGCTAGATGCCGAAAGAACTCTCTTCAAGGCTTTGGGAATAACATGGTCCAGAGAGGGTACATCACGAATGTAGCACTACTGCTCTCGGCTTGTGTTTGCGCATCGTGATCAGAAGAATCCAGAAGCGCGGGAACACCATGAACAAATATGGTTTTCTTGCTACCACTACCAGGAATGGTGCGTTGGTCACCTGCTTCTTTTGGGCGATCTTTTCAAGGGAGATCGGGTAATATGCGCACTCCGCTCGGCAAGTTGCGAAGACGAACTGCTGAGAGCAGGACAGCCTCTGTCTCATGTGCTGAGTCTAGTTTAACTCGAAGGATTCGAGGTTCACCAGTGTTCATTGAGGTCGGGTGACGAGCTACGCTTTACAATAGTGCCGGCTCAACCCAAATACCAATCACATCGCAAATGCAACTCAACTGGTTGCGATCGTCTTGCAACTTGTCTTTTATTGTGCCGGATTTGGATTTGGACACATCCATGTGCAGCGTGGTTTTGGCTAGCGAGTTTTGGTTTTATAGAGTTGATGGCAACTTCGGCTGTTTAGAAGGCACCACTGAAGTTGACGTGGAAAGCTGGGTTGCTCCACGCGTGCTCGGTACAGAAAATGGACCTACTTGTGTCACTCCGGATGTGTTGGTCGAGGCTCTGAGCTGTCAGTGTCATGGCTGAATATCCAGGTGAAGCGCCTATGGATGCAGGAGTAAAAGCAGGCATGCTTGAGGCTTCTCCGCTTATGGGAGTGAGGTGCCCCAGTGGATTTAGTGTCACAGACGCTCCAGTGATGTTGGACCGCCTAGCTCTCTTCTTGGGCTTAGATTCGGAGCTTGCTTTGGCTGGTTGAGGTACAGCGTGGCCATATTTACCTCCGTGGGATCGATCTTAGCATTTACAAAATGCGCGATTATCTCAGTCATTCTATCGCACTTTTCATGAGCAAAGATAAACAGTTGACAACTGGAAAAACTTGAAGTGTTGGGTAAAAGCATATTGTCTCAACAATTTTGTTTGGCTGTCTCACTTCTTGGACGGATTTGCCTACACCTTAATGACAGTATGATATAATGCAGCTAGAACAGGTTACACCAATCTTAAGGACTTTACTGCAATTGTCTGCGCAACATAGGCGACGTTGAACCGTTGAAATGCCAGCCGTCCTTTCATCGTTTGCATTAAGGCCAATCTGAGCGCTCAGCTTGATGAGTGTTCTGTGCGCCAGGCGTGACGGACAAACACGTCCAAGGTAGCACACGAATTGAGAGTTATTTACCCGCACCAATGTCAGTCGGTTGAGACAGCTAGAGGTCGTAAAGCGCAGACTGTCTGGTTCAGCGATCAAAGGACTCGCAGTTGTATACATACACACCCACATAAAGCGGTTGATTGTGTTGATCAACCTGCCTTAAGCGCCGATGCAAGTGGAGCGCTGATAAGCATCCCTATGGGTGTTCAGTTGATGAGCGAAGCAAAATGACTGTAACTTTGTTTTGCTGCAACATGCAGGGATAGTTGCTGCGTAATTTGGGAGTCCTAAGCTTCTTCTTGTGCATGAGACCAAAATCTTTCCTGAAAAACCGGTTTGATGTAGGAACGCACGTAGAACTCGGTAAAGGATATGCCAAGAAATGCGAACTAGAGCAAGAGTATTATCCACACAGGTTAGATGCAAGAGCTGGGAGGCACTGAATAAAACTGTCAAATTGGTTCCAACGAGCGCACGCATAATATTAGGTGGGAGAATTACAGTGACCACAGAGGGAAAAGCAAGAACCGAGTTAAATTGCGGCCGCACAGCATGTTCACGAGACAGTGATGGTGACGCGTGATAATGAGCATGATAAATGCCTCCTGTATCTAGACGTGCTGAGTACACGATCGCCAAATGATTCCATCCGAGGGTCTGTCTACAAAACCGACCTGCAGTGGCCAGTGTTTGCATTTTACGAGTTTCTCTGCATTCCAAACAGGTGCTCTCTTTTTCGGACACTCTTCTATAGGGCCAAGATGATCTGCATCCCAGACACTATAAAAGTAGTAAGGAAATTGCTTTCCAACACGCTCCCAACCAAAGGTTATCTGTTAAAGTTTAATGAGCTCCCCTATGAAACGAACAAGCAAGAACGCATGCTAACAGTGTTAAAGCATGCCATTTTCATTGAGCAATATATTTTAGGTGAAAACTTAATCACCGAGAAAGGTATAAGTGCCTCACTAAAAAGAGAGTACAACACAGCTGCATTGCGGCTGTTCATGTCGACTAGATATATGTAACGTGTTCTATTAAGACACCGATGACAAAGCAGTGTATGTCCTACTGTCTATATAACTTTAACTGTAGCTGTCTCCATAGCTACATAGTGGGCACTGACCTAAGTCAAGGTGTCAGAATCAATGAAAATACTAAAAATGACTAAGCAGCCGCATAGAATCTGTGACAACAGAATCACTTGACTCGTGAAACCGAGCTACCTCAGCAGTCACCAGACACTTGCTGTTTGTCACCGAGAAAATCCTGATGAGTCGTTCCCAGTCCTAATGCGCAAGCAGCGGCCCCAAATCTTTAGGCTATTGGAGGTTATCGTTATTGATCGCGAACGACCACTTCTTTGCATTCAAAAGCAGCCGACAGTGGCTGTAAGTCTACGGTGATGACCATGGGTTTTACTAACTAGGATCACCGTTTGTTTATGTTCCAAGGTTGCATATTTTCTTGATTGATAAGCAGGCACAAAAGGATAGCGTCATCTCACAGTGCTTGTGGTTGGTTGAAAAACCATCGCATCTAAATACGTAATTAGTTTCAGTGGTACTCAATCGAACCGTGTTGGATTGCTGAGCTCTGGAATTGTACAGTTCAGCTGGTGTCTTAGCTGTGGATGAATGTACGTAGATGTCACACCAAAGTAAGAACATACGAAAATTCAATCAATTACCTTGTATGATGCGGGAATGCATGAAATGTTTGCTTCTTTTGACGTGACTATAGTGTTTCAGTTAAATCGCAAGAGCAATGACGTCGGGGAGCTGTGGCTACTTGTTGGCATCCAATAATCCTTGACCAGTTCATAATATAAGACGCAGAGTCATGCCGTTCACAATAACTAAAGGTACTCTATTCTGACTGAAAACATTTTACAGAACACGGACAGTAAAAGTTGAATTCGGCCTATTATTGGAAACCACCTCTGACGATTTGAATGAGAAACAGGAACATGATAATTTCATAGAAACGACCGCACTAGTTCCTGTTATTAAGCTACTGGAATTCACAAAGTTTTATCGGAAGTTTTCAGCTACGAGCCTCCTTCTCACGGTGTTGCAATCCAACGAATATCAACATTACGACAAGCACTGTGTCAACGAGTTCAGATTTTCCGGTGACAAAGTAACAGGAATGGACGTATGTTATGTGGTAGATGGCAACAGCGGTCATTAACACAGCAAAATATTCAAGGTAGAACAAAATTTGCCACGAAGTTGAAAATGTTTGGTAATCATGTGTTCTGGTAAAACTGGCAAGCGACGTTTTAATAACTGATAAAACTTAATCAATGCAATTCTTTGATTGAGTAATCATAGATATAAAAAAATAAGTAGATAAGTGAACAAACAGCCACCTATATATTTGGGTTCAAAAAATTTATCATGCACTGGAAGATAATCAACATATAGAATGTCCCTGGTATTTCGACAT